CCCCGCAAAAAGGCACCTCGACATAAAGACGCCCAAGCTGACATCATCAGACCCCCCCCCCTCCCCACCCCCCCGGAGGTGCCACGTCGGATACGATTTGCTCTGAAGGGTATGAGCACGATGTTATCAGGTCCAGAAGAGGGGAACGGGCAGCTGGGAGGGGCCACAAATACACCCGTCCGTGAAGTCAGGACCAGCCTGCTGGTGTGAATGCATCGACTGGCATGGGGGGGGGGGGGTCCCAAACGGTGCCTTTCCTTAAAATAAAGACGTGTGCCTTCACAGTCCTCTGTTCATTATAGGTTCATAATTATACCTTTAGCTTGCAGGGGGTGGGGGGTGGTGCCTTTGGTTTCAAGCATAGGGGCTGAAAATGCTGTCTTTGTCATGCAATGGGGGGGGGGGTCAGTCTCCCAAAGGGCAGCTGCAGGTAGACGGGACCAAAACGGTGTCGGCAGTGCCTGAGTGACCCTGGGGCTGAGGTGATCTCCATGGGAAAGATAAGGCTACTGATTTTATCTGCCATGGGGGGACCGGGAGGGCAGGGCACCCCTGCCATCTGGTGGCCCACGACTCCTTCCTGCCCCTCCCCCGAGATACAGGCCCTACGTCACACGGCCGGCAGACAGGCGGGCAGGTGCAGCAGCTGAGGGGGGGGCGCTTTGGCAGGGAGCAGAACTGCTGTGGCGCCGAAAGGCCCCCCCCCGCCGATTACCCGCTCCGGCAATTAGGGCTATCGACGAGCCCCAGAGGGTGGGGGGTTCCTTGGGGGCTGACGCGGTGCTGCCTGTGCTGTACTCTAGGTGAGCGAGGGGGTCCAGGGGCCAGCAGGAGAGGCCTGGAGTGCAGGGAGGTAAATTATTCAAGGGCTGTAGAACAAACAGGGACTCGGAGGCGATTCTGTAAACACACAGCAGGTGGCGCCACACATAGCGCTCACCTGTCATTCCACACGGTGAATGCGGACTGGAAACATCACTCCCTGCCCCCAATTACCAAGGAACCAGGTAGTGTCACACCGGTGGCAGAGCATGCCACAGACGTGCTCTAATGTCGACCGCGTTGGCGCGGTAATAATTGGCCAGCAGATTCTTTATAATCTTCTCATCACTCGGATTTTGTCCCCTTATCTCCGGCAGCTCGGTAATCCTCCCCCCCCCATGCCCCGCCCCTCCCAGAGCACCGGGCTCCGGGCAGATGGACAGGTGGAGATAGCGACCTCCGGGTGGCGCCGCGGCTGCTTTTATCGCGCGCCGCTAGGCTCCAGCTCCCCTGACCCTCGCGGCCGCATGCTGCATTTTTAATCAGTTGGGTCATCCAATATAGACCTGCAGACGGGAGCTGTCAATCACACACACATCCGCCGCAGCCCCACCCCCTCGCGCTTCTCCTGTCCTTCTCAACAAGGCAATTTACTCTTCAAAGAGGAGACAGGGAAAATGGAGGACGCCAGACATCGGTATTCATGACAGGACTCTTCTTCGTGACATGGAGCCTCGCGGAATTTCATTGGAAGTGGCAGCCAGAGTCAATTTATACGAATGTCAAAGGACTGACTTCTGTGGCTGCACTTATGGGCAGGGGGGCCCGCTGAAGGATCACTCTGGAAATTATATCGAGACACCCCCGAAAATGGCAGGTGTGATGGCAGCTGGTAGTCAACTGCATTGCATTGAACTGCAAACATTTCCCTACTTTTTACAGTGGCATCCCCTAATTTGATGACATCTACCCAACATTACTGTACTATGTTCTCGCCAGGAGATCCCTGGGCTTGATGTCTGCCCAAGACACCTAATGCATTTGACGTGTAAAAGGCTCTAATCGTTGATTTAGAACAAATCTCTTAGCCACAAGCCCAAATAGCTGTTTACGGATTTGTCACCCGTCTGAGGTGGCATCTCACCACTCTTGAAAGACAAGCTCCTTCCTACTCGCTACCGAATCACGGCAGCTGAAATTTATGGTTAAGGCCTCCTCTGAAGGGCCAATTCGGCAGCCAGGGGAGGCTTGTGCCGGTGGAACCGCGCGGAGATTGTGGACGGCGTCGTTCTACCACTCGTGTTGCAGAGGGTACGAGAGAGAGAGAGAGAGAGAGAGATGAAGTAGCATCTGGAGCATGTGGCACCAAAAAAAACATGCTAAAGATGAAGCTCACAGAGACGGGAGACTGAGCAGCGGGAGACATGCGGGGATCATGACACTTACAGCCGACCATCAGATATTGGTAGTACTGCACCAGGTCTGACGCCAGAACCAGCGGGTGGTTGTTGTTGAATGGAGGCTGCAGTTCGTTCCACTGCGGTGTCCTGCTCCAAACAGACGGGGAGATCAACTAAGGGATGACTTACCAAGGGAGCAGATGCACCAAAATGCCTCCCCGCAATCCCCCATGAATCCAGCCAGTGGCTGTAGACATGCTTATATCCACCACCATATGTGATGTGCAGTGAAGACAAATGCAACAGCAATGCACAATGTTCACAAATCCACGTAACGTTGATCAGCCTAATTTTGACCATTCCATAAAGGTCGCTTAGGCCAGCGGTGGCCAATCTTATCCGCAAAGGGCCGGTGTGTATGCAGGTTTTTGGGGTAACCTTTAGATCAGCTGTTCAAGGCCAGGTGTGAGGACTCCTCAGCCAATCAGTCCTCTAATTAGTAATATAATTAGGGAGCTGCAGCGAAAACCCGCACACACAGCAGCCCTTTGCGGATAAAATTGGCCACCCCTGGCTTAGGTGATAGACTGCTACAAACTGGACGGTAACAATGCTTAAAGTTGGTTCAATAAGAAGGAACTGGCATCCGATCTCATGAAGCACCAAGCGGGCTGCGTGTAGCCGGAGCCCCTACCTGGCCAGGGCCCAGCAGGCCCGGGGACAGGTGCTCAGCTCCAGAGGAGTCTCGTCGCTGATCTTCGGCACCGTGCTGATTGGCCGAGGCTCCAGCACGTGCTCCATCAAGTTACCGTAGCAACTTAGGATGTAGAGGGAGTCCACCACCGACTGCCGCAACTGATCTGAGGGATGGACGAGGCCGGACATTGGATTAGAACAATGGATATCGAGAACCGCATCGTTCTGGTTTGCACTCCTGGTGTTTATTATTAATCTGAAAGAATGCAGGCTAGGCTAGGCTAGGCTAGGCTAGGGGAGGGTAGGGGAGGCTAGGCTAGGGGAGGGGAGGGTAGGGGAGGCTAGGCTAGGGGAGCGTAGGGTAGGGAAGGGTAGGGTAGGGGAGGGTAGGATAAGGTAGTCTTTGGACCCAGGCAAAGACGCAGATACCAGAAAATTTCATTTTATACGCCCACTGTGTCACTTCTCAGGATGCCGCGACCAGCACTGACCTTTCTCCCTCTTCATGCTGGGGTTGGTGAGGAACCAGGAGCGGGACGGGGCGAAGATGGCAGCCACACAGAAGTCCCCCCCCGACGACTTGCTAGGGGAGATCTGTGGGGCTGGCTTGGCTTTGCTTTGGGAGAGACGCGGAGACGCCCGGTTAGCAGGAATCATTCATCACAGGGACTCTCGGGATGGGACAGGGGGGCCTGGGGGAGGGGGGGGGTCAAGGTTGTTCACTGTGTCTTTAGCACACTGCTGTGAGGGAAAACACACAAATAAACAAGTAAGGGCAATAAAGTTAGACGTTACAGCTGTTTTAAAATGATTTTTGTCTGTATATTGGTCTCGTTCATTCAAGGGGCTTCGATGAAAATTACATTTCCTTCCTCTTCTCTAAAATTAAATACATTTTGAAAAACAGATATGTAAACATCCCATGCATGTTAGACAGGATATGCCCCAACGCCAGGAATAAGGAGTTAAAATATAATAACGATAATTAACGACACACAGAATACACAACACAAATACAAGGGGAGATGGTCTGTCCAAAGCCATGTTATCCGCCATGCAGAGGAAGGAGGAAGCCAGCAGTGCTTTGCCATGGCACCGTGCAGCCAATCCATCGCGGATGGTAGCCACGCTGGCCCCCGAAAGGGGCCCTTACAGCTATGGGGGTCACCTGGCGTGGCCCCCATCGCTTTGATAATACCTGAATGGGCCCACATCACAGCGCGGTAGTGCGGCGCTAACCCTGACCAGCGGCGACACAAATCCGGCACTGTAAAGCCCGTTCCACCCTCCCCCCCGCCCCCGGCCGCTACACCTCAGCCCCACAGCTTGGGCTTAAACTCCGCTGTACTGCTGCCTCGGGGGAGACATCCAACCCCAAACGGCTCTTGCCCCCAGAACACCCCCCAACCCCCTTGACAGCTAATCAAAACTGCATACATTTCTTTCTTTTTCAATTTCCAGGGACACTTCCCAAGGACCCTCCACCCAGCTGTTGGGTAATAATCATATCTGCTTCATTTCAGGGTCGTCTTCCAAATAACCCGGTGACATCACCGAGTGCTGATCTGGAGTGACCGTGGGCCTGCCCTTGCCGCCCATGCCCGTTTGGGGGCGGAGCCAGGCGAGCATTCCGCCACCCCGGCCTTGCGCGGGATACTAATAGGTGCTGAGTGACCTGATGCCAAGTTGAACTCAGACTCTTTGGCTTCCCTTAAAACTGTCAGCACACCATAAATTACTGCGGGACGCGGGGCTCAGTCGACGTCTTTGGTCGAGAGTATGTCAAGTCCTGGGACGGGGGGGGGGGGGGGGTTGTTACTGGTGTGTATTTATTAGTGTTGGATTGAGGGTCAATCGAATAGCCGGTCCCCACCCCCTGAGGTGGTGGAGTTTGCCAAGTTTGGTGAGCCGCTTCCTGTCTACTTCCGACCCCCCCTCCACGAATCACATCGAAGTATCAATAAACCGACAAAACAGAGGCGGGGGGGGGGGGGTTAGTAGCATGTGTCCTTAACGGGAAGAACATCTCATATGCTTGTTCTCTATGAAGTAAACTCCCACAGAGGTCTCCCAACCTGGGGGGGGGGGGGGGGGGCACTGTACAATTCACTTGCCCTCGATGCAGCTACGGGGAAACTGCAATTATCAGCTTTATTACATGGGGGCTGTGTTTCTGTTTTTTTAAATCCCTAAATTAACTATTAAACTGCTGTATAAACATCAGACTCAAAGCCTGCGGTCTGATGGTTCTGATACCCCCAGAAACTACAACCTAATCCCACCCCCCCCTCCGGCCGCCACTCGCACCGTAGCCCATGTTGTTCTTGGGCAGAAATCCCTGGAATAATAAATCCAGGAATAATAAAGTTTAAATGAGGCAGTTTCATAAAATACATAAAAAGCCCAAGTACAAATTACTATGCAAAACCACTTAAGAGGATGACAATCCAAACAGCATCGAGGTAAAGGAGCTACACAGAGCCCAAATGTTTTACAGAAGCTCTGGCCACCCTTCTAAGACGCCCCCGCTATCCCATGACATGCAGCTGATCTCCTCTGTAAGTCATCGGGCCTCCTCAAGGGAGCCCCTCCCTTCCCCTGAAACTGGTGGGGGCGCTTTGATATTGATTGTGCAAGCTAAGCACTCTGCACAAAGGGCTTGGTTGGAGGAAGACCTGCCAGTAAAACCATCTCAGTCAGACTCACGCAGCTACACTAATAATTTAGATATAAATTAATGAGGAAAAACCCGCTGTTTTAGGAGCCGCCGGGTGTAGATTTGACATCATTCGTTTACTTTGGGCTGAGCGAAGTGGCTTCAGCGCCGACGTCTTGGCCGCCTTGACTAATGGCGGCCCGAACAGGCAGGCGAGGCTCCGCTATACAGGGAGGACGGCCTGTTATTACACAAACCTTTGGCAGGTAAAGCACTCACACAAACCGCGGGCAGCCATCCGTAGATTACACAAAGTAAACATACGGAACAGGAAGAGCAGGCCGCCAGATAGATGGCCGCGCACCGAGGGCTGCCCCCGATTCCTCTGCGATTTTAACACAATGGCTCCTAGCTGAGAGGCATCCATTTTCCCTGTAACTTTTATTAAGGACTTTAATTCACTGAGAGACTGCCCGGTTGTCCTTTCCACTTTTAATTTTACAAATGAGGACCCTTGACTGAGCTAATGGCTTTTCCTCGGACGCATAATTCAATCTGCTGTGTCCACCATCAAAGACCTTCAGCATTAGAGGGCTCGCCGAGGCCAGGCGCCACCCGGGGGGGGGGGGGGGGGGGGGGGGGGGGG